GGGTGGTTGCCTTGGGAAAGGATGGGATGAGAGGGGTGTGGAAGGGAAGGGGTTTTTGTGCGTATGAGTTGGGTGGTTGCCTTGGGAAAGGATGGGATGAGAGGGGTGTGGAAGGGAAGGGTGTTTTGTGTGCGTATGAGTTGGGTGGTTGCCTTTGGAAAAGGATGGGATGAGAGGGGTGTGGAAGGGAAGGGTGTTTTGTGTGCGTATGAGTTGGGTGGTTGCCTTTGGAAAGGATGGGATGAGAGGGGTGTGGAAGGGAAGGGTGTTTTGTGTGCGTATGAGTTGGGTGGTTGCCTTGGGAAAGGATGGATGAGAGGGTGTGGAAGGGAAGGGTGTTTTGTGTGCGTATGAGTTTGGGTGGTTTGCCTTGGGAAAGGATGGGATGAGAGGGGTGTGGAAGGGAAGGGTGTTTTGTGTGCGTATGAGTTGGGTGGTTGCCTTGGGAAAGGATGGGATGAGAGGGGTGTGGAAGGGAAGGGTGTTTGTGTGCGTATGAGTTGGGTGGTTGCCTTGGGAAAGGATGGGATGAGAGGGTGTGGAAGGGAAGGGTGTTTTTGTGTGCGTATGAGTTGGGTGGTTGCCTTGGGAAAGGATGGGATGAGAGGGTGTGGAAGGGAAGGGTGTTTTGTGTGCGTATGAGTTGGGTGGTTGCCTTGGGAAAGGATGGGATGAGAGGGTGTGGAAGGGAAGGGTGTTTTGTGTGCGTATGAGTTGGGTGGTTGCCTTGGGAAAGGATGGGATGAGAGGGTGTGGAAGGGAAAGGGTGTTTTGTGTGCGTATGAGTTGGGTGGTTGCCTTGGGAAAGGATGGGATGAGAGGGGTGTGGAAGGGTAAGGGTGTTTGTGTGCGTATGAGTTGGTGGTTGCCTTGGGAAAGGATGGATGAGAGGGGTGTGGAAGGGAAGGGTGTTTTGTGTGCGTATGAGTTGGGTGGTTGCCTTGGGAAAGGATGGGATGAGAGGGTGTGGAAGGGAAGGGTGTTTTGTGTGCGTATGAGTTGGGTGGTTGCCTTGGGAAAGGATGGGATGAGAGGGGTGTGGAAGGGAAGGGTGTTTTGTGTGCGTATGAGTTGGGTGGTTGCCTTGGAAAGGATGGGATGAGAGAGGGTGTGGAAGGGAAGGTGTTTTTGTGTGCGTATGAGTTGGGTGGTTGCCTTGGGAAAGGATGGGATGAGAGGGGTGTGGAAGGGAAGGGTGTTTTTGTGTGCGTATGAGTTGGGTGGGCCTTTGGGAAAGGATGGGATGAGAGGGTGTGGAAGGGAAGGGTTTTGTGTGCGTATGAGTTGGGTGGTTGCCTTGGAAAGGATGGGATGAGAGGGGTGTGGAAGGGAAGGGTGTTTTGTGCGTATGAGTGTGGTGGTTGCCTTGGGAAAGGATGGGATGAGAGGGGTGTGGAAGGGAAGGGTGTTTTTTGTGGCGTATGAGTTGGGTGGTTGCCTTGGAAAGGATGGGATGAAGAGGGGTGTGGAAGGGAAGGGTGTTTTTGTGTGCGTATGAGTTGGGTGGTTGCCTTGGGAAAGGATGGGATTGAGAGGGTGTGTGAAGGGAAGGGTGTTTTGGTGCGTATGAGTTGGGGGTGGTTGCCTTGGGAAAGGATGGGATGAGAGGGGTGTGGAAGGGAAGGGTGTTTGTGTGCGTATGAGTTGGGTGGTTGCCTTGGAAAGGATGGGATGAGAGGTGTGGTGAAGGGAAGGGTGTTTGTGGTGCGTATGAGTTGGGTGGTTGCCTTGGGAAAGGATGGGATTGAGAGGGTGTGGAAGGGAAGGGTGTTTTGTGTGCGTATGAGTTGGGTGGTTGCCTTGGGAAAGGATGGGATGAGAGGTGTGTGGAAGGGAAGGGTGTTTTTGTGTGCGTATGAGTTGGGTGGTTGCCTTGGGAAAGGATGGGATGAGAGGGGTGTGGAAGGAAGGGTGTTTTGTGTGCGTATGAGTTGGGTGGTTGCCTTGGGAAAGGATGGATGAGAGGGGTGTGGAAGGGAAGGGTGTTTTGTGTGCGTATGAGTTGGGTGGTTGCCTTGGGAAAGGATGGGATGAGAGGGGTGTGGGAAGGGAAGGGGGTTTTGTGTGCGTATGAGTTGGGTGGTTGCCTTGGGAAAGGATGGGATGAGAGGGGTGTGGAAGGGAAGGGTGTTTTGTGTGCGTATGAGTTGGGTGGTTGCCTTGGGAAAGGATGGGATGAGAGGGGTGTGGAAGGAGGTGTTTTGTGTGCGTATGAGTTGGGTGGTTGCCTTGGGAAAGGATGGGATGAGAGGGTGTGGAAGGGAAGGGTGTTTTGTGTGCGTATGAGTTGGGTGGTTGCCTTGGGAAAGGATGGGATGAGAGGGGTGTGGAAGGAAGGTGTGTTTTGTGTGCGTATGAGTTGGGTGGTTGCCTTGGGAAAGGATGGGATGAGAGGGGTGTGGAAGGGAAGGGTGTTTTGTGTGCGTATGAGTTGGGTGGTTGCCTTGGGAAAGGATGGGATGAGAGGGGTGTGGAAGGGAAGGGTGTTTGTGTGCGTATGAGTTTGGGTGGTTGCCTTGGGAAAAGGATGGGATGAGAGAGGGTGTGGAAGGGAAGGGTGTTTTGTGTGCGTATGAGTTGGGTGGTTGCCTTGGGAAAGGATGGGATGAGAGGGGTGTGGAAGGGAAGGGTGTTTTTGTGTGCGTATGAGTTGGGTGGTTGCCTTGGGAAAAGGATGGGATGAGAGGGTGTGGAAGGGAAGGGTGTTTTGTGTGCGTATGAGTTGGGTGGTTGCCTTGGGAAAGGATGGGATGAGAGGGGTGTGGAAGGGAAGGGTGTTTTGTGTGCGTATGAGTTGGGTGGTTGCCTTGGGAAAGGATGGGATGAGAGGGGTGTGGAAGGGAAGGGTGTTTTGTGTGCGTATGAGTTGGTGGTTGCCTTGGGAAAGGATGGGATGAGAGGGGTGTGGAAGGGAAGGGTGTTTTGTGTGCGTATGAGTTGGGTGGTTGCCTTCTATTTATATGAGTTCAAAACTGGTGGCTTAAGTGTGTGTTGATGTTTGTGTTTTGAGGAACTGACACTTAGGTAATTTACTTTCTGGTTTTAAACCTAATCAATTCTGTTTTATATTGCCTATACAAATTTATCTGCAGAATTGATTATAATTTTGTTTTTCTAACAACTTATGATACATTATCAAATTAATTGTTTATAGATAACCTTACTCTGATTTGAAAAAAAAAACAATTTGAAAATAAAAAATCATCCTCATTATAAAAGTTAATTATTAATTAAAATTATTTCTACAATTTGTGCACAGTATTTCATTTAAACTTTGTACATTTCTGATTTCAATTTTATACATTTTGATTGGAACATTCACAGCTCAAATCTAGATGACAGTTACTACATTTATGCGAATATAGTACGTCTCCATTCATCTATTTACTTGTTGTTGTTGAAATACAGACATTATTTTTTACTATCTTAAAATAAGAATTTTGTTACGGTATTAATATTTTTAACAACAATGATGACATTACATCAACTATTAAATGAGGTTTTATCAAGTATGAAATCAAAAATTAGATGTTTTATATGATTAAAAACGAGTTTATTTGACGATATGACTAATTATACATTACTTTTATTTTCCAAATGTTTTTTGAAATTGATTTTTTCAAGAGAAAAAATAAATTTTTGATTTTCATTTTTGAATTTTTGAATTTTTTTTTGGAAATTTTGAGTTGATCAATTAAGCAGAATGAGTTATGGGAATGCTTTATATATCTCATAAGGTGATGAATTAAAGATGAATCTTACTAAATTATTTTAAATCACAAATATCATCCTCATTATCATTTGTTCCAAAAAGAATAGTACTAAGCATTGATAAATCATGATCTATATTAGTAAATTACTTGAATGAAAAGAGTAAAAGTAATATATTAGATTTAAACGAAAACCTGTTTCATATTAATATCCTAGTCGAGCGATGAGATTTTATTTGTATTTGTTAGTATTTAGTAGACATTCTAATCTTGAATTTTATATTTCACTGTAAATTAATAATTAATGGGATTTATTGCTTGGATTTCTGATTAATTTGATTAAAGTACCTCCGCATGTATCTTAAGTAATATCGCATCTTGAGGAATTACAAGATTTACAAGAGACTTCTTGTGATTTTTGAATAATTGATAAGAACTTTTATTTACGAAAAATGGTTTATTGAATATAATATATTTCTGTATTGACTCATTATCATTATACTATTTTCAGTCAAATCCTGGAAAGTTAATATTCAAATCTCTTATTTAGCTGAGAAATTGGATATTATATAATAAACCATAATCTTGTAAGCTCGAAATGTTATAGTTACATTTAAAAGCTCTAATAATACTTCAATTTGAAATTCAGAATATGAATATTGATTTTTACTTATATTTGAAATCACGTTTGATATTTAAATCATAATTTGATGATTAACTGACAAAAATTATGGTAATTAAAACATAATTCACAAATCTTTTTATTCTTTTAATAACTTTTCAAAATAAGATCATGTCATTCATATCCGTAGCCTACTGATTCTAGATATCCTATTTATTTGAAAATCTATTGTTGGGAAGTCTCACGAATGTACCTTTGATTTTGGTCCAACATTGAATTAAACCGGTTTGTTGATTCAATTTTGTGATCCATTCAAAGCATCAAATTTAGAATAAGAAAGAATTCGAAAATAGTGCAACTTTTGAGACGGAGCTTCGCTCCGTCTCAAAAGTTACACTATTTTTTTAAAACCTATCGTTAATTTTGTTAGTTTTAAGAGGCAAAATTCCAATGTTAAAAATATTAATATGTAAATCAGAAATTTGACCGGATTTTGCTAACAATAATGCAAAATAAAAAAATCTTCTGAAATTATTGTTCATTTAATTTTTATCATATAATTGATCCAACCATTGATTTGGTGATATACTATTAACCGAGAAAAAAATTCAATTGATATTTTTGAAGATATTCGTCACAATAATTGTTAAAGCGTCACAAAAAAATAAATGGAGAGTTTGCCTCTAGTAAATTATAATATTCTTGAAGGTGTTGCTTCTGGGGCGTTTGCAAAAGTTTATTTTGGGCAGCATAAGCAAACAGATGCAAAAGTTGCAATTAAAAAAATAGATAAACGAGCCAATAATAGCGATGGTAAGCAATTGCTTCGAATTCAGCGCGAAATTGAGCTAATGGAAAGGGCAAGGCATCCATTAATATCAGATCTATATGAGGTCATTGAAACAGAAGATTATATTTACATTATTATGGAATGCGCACCAAATGGAACTCTTTTTACTCGTTTAAATGACTCCGGTCCTCTAGGCGAAGACCAATCATCTAATTTATTTGCGCAAATTTTGGTTGTAATGAATTTCCTTCATAATCAATGCAAAATTGCTCATAGAGATATCAAAGCAGAAAACATTTTATTTGACAAAAATCAAAATATCAGAATCATCGATTTTGGCCTAGGTAATACGCCCATAAACGATTCAAATTTGATGAATACTCAATGCGGCTCGCCAGCATATGCTGCTCCGGAAATGATTCTCGGTCATGAGTATACATTTTCATGTGATATATGGAGCTGTGGTATTGTACTTTATGCAATGGTATGTGGATATCTTCCTTTTGAAGACTCTTCTTTATCTCGATTAGCACAAAAAATAGTTTTTAAGGATATAGAATATCCCAGTAAACTATCTCCTAATTGTATTGACCTCCTAAAAAGATTATTAACTAAAAATCCATTGCAAAGGATTACTTTGGAAGAAGCAATGAATCACCCTTGGGTAATTTCCAATGTAAGATATATCGAAAAGAAGCTCATGGACTTCAAATATGACTTCGAGTTAATTGGAAATTTAATGACTGCAATGGGATCTTCAATCGAAGATGCTCAAAAAGATTTAGAATCACATATTACAAACCAAGGAACAACTCTTTTAACAATTTTAAAGAGGGAGTATATGAATTCAAATCTTGGTTCACTAGCAATGAAGGTTTCATTTGGTGATTTAAGGAAGAATACTTCTCCAAATGCGTTGCCAAAACTAAATGTTCAAGATAAAATCAAACATGAAAGGAGGAAAAGTGTTCATTATAACATTTGCACTTCACCGCTATATAATAGTCTCAAAAGAAAACTTCCAGGAGCTATTGTTAAATAAGCATTTATATTTGTGTATTGTATGTTAAAAAAAATGAACTGTATGGAAATCATAAACTAGCAACTTTTTTTGAATAACATATCTTATGATATTTAAAATTGATCATATTTTATAAAAAACATAATAATAAATTTATGATTTAATAATAGATAAAATAATTGAAGAAGCAGATTGCATTCCATTTTTTTCCAGTTGGGCAGCTTTTCCTCTAATCTCAATTTCTTCACTTTTAGTAGTTTCAACCGGAATTTTATTAATTTCTAAAACAGTCTCAGCAATAAAATCTTCATCCAATGAAGACAAAACGTATCTAATCATATTTTCTCTGAAATTAGATAGTTGTAGCATTGTTAAGCTCTCTTTCATCATATAATAAGCAGACATTATTATCTTGGAAGGGAAAACTGATGATAAAATATTGCCTAAAACATTCAAACCTTTATCTGTGTTCCAAAACATTGTGCGGTTTGCGTAATTAACTAAAATGTCAAGAATGTCATGGTCTTTTACTCGTGACAACTCTTGTGTCAGTATTGCAAGAGAGTATTCTTGGGACTGTTGTAGTGTGCAAAATGTCACGATTAACGACGCAGCAGCAGGGCAGTTGCAAATAGGGGTGTGATGAGAAACTAATCTTTCAAAAATATCCATCTGATTTTGATCAGAATAAAGAAAACTTTCCGCTAAAAAGTACCATGATTCCAAGTATTCAAATGTATCTTTGTCCGAATACAAGGAGAATAAGCTATTGATCGAAAATCCGACATCATTATACTTTGCAATTAATCTTTCGTTTAGAAATCCAATAATAAACTTCGTTTCCCCATTATGAGCTTTCAAATACGTTTTGTTGAAATTCGCAAGATGATTCATAACAGAAACTCTGTTTTGTTCTGTTTCTTTTAAGAGAAGCTGCCAGGCCCTTTGATATGTGCCATAATTCTCAAATATATCACAAGAGCTGACATCGAAAGTTAACAAGTAATTGACAACCTGATTAAAAGATTTAATATTTGCTTTGATATAGGCCTCATATCTATTTTGGTCAAAGAGGATGCTCGATATGATATTTAGATTTGTTGGATGACTAATGATAAATTCGGCAGCATCTTTTGTTAAAAATCTTGCGCAGACTTCTTGGAATAAGTTACTTTTGTATAATGTCTTAATTTCTGATGTTGGAGTCAAATCCAAAACCATCTTTAGCCATGTCTTCACATCCCTGTTAAAAGTGTTGAAACAGCTCAAAGAAGAAATGAGCTTAGAATAGCTTGCATCTGAGAAGAATCTGTCAATCATCAATGGATAAATTGTATCGTGCAAAAGCTGAATTCCAGCCAATTGGCTTCTGTTAGGATATTGCGGAGCATCTCTTAAGAGGTAAACAGATTCAACAATAATTGATGAAATTGGAATCAAAAAGTTTACCATGTTGGAATCCAAAACTATCTTTGAGAAGATACTGAAAAAGTCTGGTGCACTTTCTTCTACTTCTCCTTCTTTTGATATTGTTCCCATCAATCTTTCTCCTTTTGATTGCTTCACGCATTTTCCAATTGTCTCGACAAATGATGTCAAGAGTTTGACAATTGACTCTTCCCCCTTCTTCAAATCGTATATTTTTAGGATGATTTGCCTACCCAAATCTCTCGTTTGGCTTGAATTGTTAACAAGAAGCAACTCAATCAAAGTCATCGAATCAAATGTGGGTGAGATATCAATATTGATGAGATTCAGTGCAGCAAGCAATTTCTGGGCAAAAAGTTTATTTTTCTCTTTCAAAACTTTGATTAATTGGTTATATAAACCATGTCTATCATCAGAATCTAACTGGTACAAAATGAATAACCCTGTGAGACTTTGCATGTCATATGATGATAAGTTGATATTCTCCATTGCTTGTATAGCAGGTAAGAAACCAATTAAACTCTGTATATTTTTGTAGTTACACATAATTTTGAACAAAGTATCAACTGGAGGCATTGTTTTCATCAAAGGAATTACATTCGAAAGATCACTGAGTTCGTAAAACTTCTTAGTATTTGAAGCATAGTTAGGTAAATCATTTTCCAGGAATTTGTCTACTGTTTTTTGCAGCTCTGGGTTTAAAAGTTTCCTTACCAAATAAAAGAATTCTGAGAAAATGCTTGAATTACTTAAAATAGTGTTTGGATTTTGTAATATTAAGATTATTTTATGGCGCATCTTTTCCTTTTCTCTTGAGATTAAAGCTGCTTTTTCGAAAATTTTTATCATAAATTGTCTGGATTGTGCATTAATATTGACAAGTATTAGAGGATCCATGTCCATGACTTTGTCAGCAACTGATTGAATGTTCAGCAAATTCATGCAAATAAATGGGAGATCTTGGCTATCCTTTCCGGCTTCAATGAGATTCAACGTGTAATTAATAAGAAATCCCCCATCAGTATCGTACCTAGCTGCTGTTTTAGCTAGTTCGCAGAATTCTATTGATTGGGAGACTCCTCTTACTAGAGAACTGTTCATATCTCTTCTTAATTTTTCGAAAAGTACTTCGTTGAATTCTTTTTTGATTTTAAGCACAGCATCATACTTCTTGTACCACAAAATATATGCATTTGAGGATTTGGGAATTGATCCTTTCCTATAGCTCTGGGTTCTCTCATCAAAGAACTCAAATGAGGATATTCCACCAGCTGTTTCTTCAAATACGTCTCCTTCGAATTCTTTGACAATTTCGTCGTTTAAAGAATACCATTTGTTATCTTTTTTGACATAGGAAAAATAGTGTCCGCTCTCTGTGGTGCCCATATGGACTTGAATTCCAATCAAGTCATAAATTGAGTTTTGTTTTGTAATTGTCATTGGGCCGATGTCAAGAAAGTCAGAGAACTCATATCTCGAGTTTATCTTCTCTCTCGTCATCTTCTCGACATTGTATTCAAATCTCTTCAGCTGAACAATGAGATAAGTTGGCTGTTCCTTGATGAAGTGGTAGCATTTTGCATCTATTTTGCCTTGATCAGACATGTATTTGTCTTTACCTGTGAACAAAGATGGTTGAAGATATGTTCTTATACTTTCTTGGATGTTAGCGTGGTTATTAACATCGAAATTCAATGTTTCGAATGTTTCATCCCTTTCCGCAACAAACTCTTCTTCCATTGTAACAAATTTGGATGTGGAAACTCCTCTAAACAATTCTAATGTTCCTGGTATATCTTCTAACCTCGAAAACAGAAGAGATAAGAATTCTGAGGCATCTTGTTGAACAGAAGCTGAGACTTTTTCACCTCCCCAATCTGTCCATAAATTGAAGAAATAGAAGGGATTAATAACTTTCTCAGGGAAATATTTCATTTTGCAAATTAAATATTGGAACTCTGCTTGCCAGCTCTTTTCTTCAAACTTTTTAGATAAAATCAAGTCAACGAATTCGTCAATCTGGCAAAGTTGTTGTAATGTTGAATTCATATAACAGGTAGCACCTAAATTTTTCAAGCCTCTGAATCCAGTTTTATCAACTGGAACAGGAGTTGGCCCTCTCAATATTTTGTTTGATGTCGAGAGGAATTTTAAGATGTTAGATCCGATTTCAGGATTCTTGCCTATTGACATGATCAAAATGTTGAAAATGTGGCTGTTAGGCTCATAGTAGGTCACGCCATTGAACACAATTTCAGAGACAATAAAGTTAGCGATTTCCTCTAAGTTTTGTGGTTCTTTTGTCTTGACTAAAATTTCGAAAAGCCAGAAAAAGCTTTTTGTAAATTCTGCTGCAGGTGGTTTGAATTTCAATTGCTCGAAAAACTTTTCTTCCCTGTTGAGTGAGTATTTCTCAAACAAAAGAGTTTCTGATGTTTTGTAGAGTTCTTCAACATTTTCGCGGCAAACAGAAATTAAAACCTCAAAGTATTCCGTGCAATATTCATTGTCACTTTTCACCAATAATTTTGACAAGTAATTTATTTTATCGGGTATTAGATTGAGAAGATCCGAAATTGTCATTCTGACTTCAACATTTTCGTCGAATATTGCTAGAATTGTCAGTTTCCAAACCTGTTCTGTTGTTACCTTAAATCCGTGATCCAAATATATTTTGATTATTGATAAATACAAGTTTTTATGGCCGTCTTCATTAGAAAGGCATCTCTCAACAATTTTTTCAAGCGAGTTTTGGATAAACTCGATTTTGTTGTTTTTGGCGCAGTGTAAAATAACTTCTAGTGCGAATTGCATGTTTTCTTCTGTCATAGTATTGTCAAAAACGATGTCAACCATATTTTTGATACAAAACGCATTTGAAATTGCTGATAAATTCAGTAAATAAACAAAATAGTTTTCATTAACAAAACTGGTGTCGAAATCAAAAGATTTTGGCAAATCTAAATTGAGCAAAACAGTTAAAGCAGGTTTTGAAGTTTTCTCTTCCTTCAACTTTTGTAAAATCTTATCATAAAATAAAGCAATTTTAGGAAGCGGATTTATCTCAGATTTCAACGTTCCAAAATAGCCACTTATATTTATTGTTATATTGCTTTTCACGATAAAGTTATCATCTAAACTTTCGTTGTTGTATTTGAGAGATATTTGAGCTGTTTTGAGTTTTTCTTTTAGGAATTTTTTGATATCTCTTGCTGAAGAATTCTTTGGTATCCTGAATGACTCATTCAATAGTCCATTGAATGTAACATTTACGAAGTAACTCTCCGGAATGAATTTTGCTGTTTTTGACAAAAAACTTGTATTCTTCTTTGTTACATAAGCCAAAGTCTCGAGAGCTCCATTTTCATTTATATTCTCTATGACTTTTTGGATGAAAAATTCCATATTCTCTTCATTTTTCATGCAAAACTTGTAAATGTACTTTGCCAAGCTTTTTCCGCCTGTTTTAAAGAGAGATTTCCATACCAAATCGATTGAATTCAGCTCGGAAATTGTAATGTATGGATTCCTGTTGTATTTGAAATCCATCAGCTTTGGATTGAGTGCCTCAAAAGAAGACTTGAATAAATCAAATATTTTTTCTGACATTTCATCGAAATCTGAAATAGTTTCCATGAGGTGTTTGATCAAACCAGATGAAATTTTCCTATTTACAACCAAAAACATGAAGTCTGATATTATTTGGGAGTTCGTTTCATCATTTATTAGCGAGTTTTTTGTTAGTTTAAGTAAGCTGTTGAACTCCTCATTGTTGATCTCTGACATTGCCCTTAGAGTTTTCGTCATCAGTTGGGAAAACTGCAAGATTGACTTATCATCAATTGTCAGAACGACTGTGTCGAAGACTTCTTTGGCTGTGTAGGGATCTATTGAAGAAATAGTTGTCTGGAGGAGAGGGAGAGCGAGATCCAAGTCCTTTGACTCGTGTAGGGAGTTAAGGCACCATCTTTGCACGGATTCTGCGCTAGTCGGTGCATAACGACAAATGATGTCAATGATTATTTTTCTTTTGTCACCTTTTTTGAATTTATCAAAGAAAATATCGAAAACATCTTTCTTTGTCTGGCTGTGTGCACCTCTACTCTGTTCGATGAGAATCATCAACCCGATTTCTGTTTCAGACTGTGCTGTTCTGATAAGAAATTCTTGAAGCTGAAGTGGCTTTAGTCTGCAAACAACTTTGTTTATAGAGTTGATGTAATTTGATTGTACGACTTGATTCTCTTTTGCGGCTACTTGACAGAAATCAAGGATCTCTTTAACGTCAAGGCATCCATAGTTGACCATTTTTGACATCAACTTGCAAAATTGGTCAACTAATGAATGGTGAAGTGAAGTCATATTTTGAGAAATAAATTTTTCTTCCTGAAGAATCTTGCAGAGAGATTCAGCATATTTAGGATGATCTGAAAGTTCTTTATTAATGAATGAAATAGCTGCATATTGCTTAGAAACAATGCCGGAAGAAAAGATAATATTGTTAATTGTAACTGAAATTGAGAGTAATGGCTGAATAGAATCTGAAAGACTAGATATATTTAGTATTATATCAAAATCTTGTTCGAATTTTTGCTCGTTCAGTGATCGTATTTCTGAAATTGATAATTTTTGACATGATGCGATGAAACTTGGTAATAATGGTTCAATAATATGGATATCTTCAAAAATCTGATGGTATCTTTGCATAATTTGAATGATTCTTAATAATATGTTTGCGATATAAATATCAATTGTAGCTTCGCAAAGTTGATTTACGCGTTGTACAAAGTTTTCCGATTTAAATATTTCAATGCAATTTATGTAATACTTGAAATTTGTTTCGATTTCACCAAGAAAACTATAATGCCTTACCATGAAGAACGGAATCCGGCAATTTTCAAAAATAATCATCATCGCATCGATATATTTTTGATTTTCACGAGATAATTGAGATGGAAATAGTTTGCTAAGTGGGATTAAAATTTGATCAAATTGTGGAGGATTCTCAATCGGAGCTATATTGTATTTAGATATCTTTTCTATTAGTTTTGGAGCAAACTCGTTTATGAAATATAAAGTATTTTCGTCAGTAGGTTGAGATGATTTTGAATTTTTCTTGGTTTCAGAAACATAGACTGATATTTTCTTGATATGCTTAGATTCTATCTTTCTTGCATCTATCAGATTCAATATTTCATCACACCATGCTGAAATATTAGGAATTTCATTCATTCAAAAAACTAAAATTATAAAAAAATTTCACCGAAAAAAAAAATCACAGGAGAAAATCGGATCTAGATAAAACAAAATATTTTGAGGAAATCATAATAAATCAAAAGAACATACAGATCGGAACTGAGCTCTGAAAAAAAAAAGAATGAAAAAGGTTTTCTTTCAAAAAAATTCAGAAAAATCTAAATTCATAGCTCTGAATTTGGTACTTCGAATGGTAGAAAGAGAATAGCCATATAAAAGTATATCTTATTTCAAAGAATAAACAAAAAAATGTCCAAAATTTTGAATAAAATTGTTATAGACCGAAAATAGATTTTTTCGGTTTTCTCTTCAAATAATTGAAAGAATGATATTATTATAGGTTTATTATATTATATAGCATATAATCATGCTATAGCCGAAAATTATAAGTTTTTAGAAGATTGAATATAACACAAATAAATTTGAATGTAAGTTAAATTGCTTGTTGTTTTTAATAGCTCTTTAATGAGAAATCCAATATTGCAAAATTCAAATTGAATGATTGAAAGAACAGAAAAAGGGGGCGGCGACAAATTTGCCCAGCCAGTAAAGTATTCAATTTTTTTTTGCATTTTTTTAAAGCTTCTTAACTTAAATCATGGAATGTCTCAAAGACAAAAGTAGCATACAGCATGTAAAGCTAAAGAAAGATAATTATAATTAATACCTTAATTTTTAATATTACGCATTTTTAGGTGCAAAATTTAAAAACATTCTAATACAATAGAGCAGTTTCCAAAAGTAGCATACAGCATGTAAAGCTAAAGAAAGATAATCATAATTAATACCTTAATTTTTAATATTACGCATTTTTAGGTGCAAAATTTAAAAACATTCTAATACAATAGAGCAGTTTCCAAAAGTAGCATACAGCATGCAAAGCTAAAGAAAGATAATCATAATTAATACCTTTAAAGTTTAAAATCTTGATTTTTTTAAAATCAAATATTTATAACTTTAATACATACAGCTTAAACCTTATACTTGTTTTCTCTTGTGAGAAAGCAATCTTACAAAGCTAGCAATCCTAAAAAATAAAGAATTAAAATTTAATAATTTAATCTAACAAAATTTCTCTCTTTATCCTTTTGCACTCTTTATATGCAACTCAAATCCATCATATAATATTCCTATAATACTCTTGCCTCAAACAATGACGAACAAACTGCTATTAGTTAGTATACATATCATGAGTACTGTGGCACTGCATTCCACCATAACCAATACTTGTGAATTTGACACTTTACAAAACCGTTAACATATATTTTACAACACAAACGACAACACTAACTTAACATTAAATATTTACAAAGCCGCCAACCACTTCACTTCACTAACGTTTTCACAAACGACTTCACTACTGTAAAAATAAACGTTCTCACTTACAAAAGTATTGCAGCGCTTCCCATTGCTGTGCTTCACATAACAGCTCATAATCTTCTGACTCACTTTCTTCTTCATATAGGTCAAAATCACTGTCAAAATAAATGTTAGTAAGTTTTGACAAAGCTAATGAAACACGTTTACCGTTTGTATCGTATGCTTGTATAAACTTTCCATTATGTTTGTAGTCATAAACGCTCAAACTAACTTTACCCTTTCTCCCTCGTATCTGATAGAATGTATTTTCACGAGGAACGAAGAACAAATTCTTGAACTCATGACCGTTGTAGTTTGTTATCTCAATAGTTTTCGTCATTTACATCCAAATAAAATAAAAATAAAATAAAAAATAAAATAAAAAAATAAATGATATCACCACTCCCACACGTATGAAAACATAGCGCAAAAATAAATTTAGGTGAAGTGGTGAGATCTCACCTGTTTTTTCACCTCTTTTTTCACCCTGTTGAATTCATTGTTTTATAACTCACTTCCTTGGTTTCTTTTTAGTTGCTTTCTTCACGTCTGTCTCCAACTTGACTGTCTTTCTTCTTCGTCCGTAATGATACCAGTTACTTCCACCAGTCAATGGGTCAAATGGTCGTTCATAAGGGTTTCCATACATTCCATAAGGTCCGTATGGATAAACTACTAGTGGAGGAAGAGTTCCATCGACTCTATTTAAATGCATTGTTTCACCTTTCATCTGGTCATTAAAGTCTTTTGCGTGTTTTGCAAACTCGTCGTCCTTTCCTAAAGCATTTTCTGACTCAGTCGCAACCAAATTGGATGCTTTATTTATGAGCCCTATTTTATTTAATCTTAACTTCTTTGCAACCCAGCCTCCAATCTTCCCTTTATTTGCATCTAATGTCTTCGAAACCCTTCCTCCACTCATTTTATTTACTGCGTCATAAGCTCCAAGTGCTTTTGCTCCAAATGCTAATGCTTTTGTTCCCATTGCACCTAAAGCTGCCCAAGCTACCATTTACACCATATTAAAATCATCTCTCTTCAATATTATCTCATAAAAGTTCTCGTTACTGGAGAAAGTCAATGAAACATAAACATTCTCACGGGCTTCGCCCTCACCGCTTTGCGGTCTATCTAACTTATTTCTTATCTCATCTATTCTCAATAAAATGTCTGAACAATTGCTAACATCTTCTACAACAGTTATTTCATCATGAATGACCTTCAAGAACAAGCTCATTTAATATGCAATTAAAATCATCTCAATAATGAGTCCATCCTTTCCATCTTTAGGTAGCACAACATCTTTCATTGAAGAAGGTTCGACAAGTCTTATGTTAAACTTACTGACAAAGTTTGTTATACTATAATGCTTCGGTGGCGAATACATGTAGTTTGAAAGACATAATATAGATTCTTCAGCAAATTCACTTATACTGGATTTTATAACAATGTTTTCACGAGACCAAATACCACCAATTGACAATCTTGTAAGCAATCCTGCTGAACCTTCAACTGTAAATGTCGATGGTAACATTCCACGAAGGTCATCTATTGACATCGTTGAGTCACTGAATTTAAAGATTTTCTTAAAGCAATCGTCATTATCTAACCATGCAATAGCTTTGAAGTTTTCATTCGAATATACATCTGCTTCATTAAATGTAAAACCTGACTTCTTTGCAGAGATGACTTTAAAATCTATTGAGTTTGTTTCAAAATTATATGCTATGCTAACTTCTGAAGGTAATGGATGTCCTTCCGCAGTCAGTTGTTCTCTCACTACCATTTGAAGCTTTGTGTTAAAAACTTTCATGTCATCTCCTGTATCTAAGTTCACATACACAGCAACAGGGAAACTATCTTGCTTCTTTGTTTCATCATTATATCTCAAAACATTAAAGTTCTTCAATAATATTGTTCTTCCTGCTGGAATACTTCGAACCTGTCTGATTTCAATAGCTTTCTCACCTCCTACATACTCTACCCAGTGTCTTGGATATTCATAAGTATACTGACTTTCTTGAATTTTGGTTGGTTTCATCATAACGTTTCATAGTATATCTTTATACTCTTATCAGTTAGACTCGGTGCTATGTTCTGAATATTTCTGACTTGCATTTTTAATGGAGGTAAAATGAAGCATTTAATACATGACGTAGATGAAGACATGAATGAAACTACAGACAAACTTAACTCTTCTCTTATTCTTCCTTTCAGCAAAGATTATGAGTTCTGTTCAAATGGTGTGTATTTCTATTGTGGAAAGATGGGTTCAGGTAAGACATTCAACCTCATTCGTCATATACTCATAACAGAGCGTTTAGGAAACGACTCTTACTATGACCAAATCATTATATCAGCAACTTCAGACTCTATGGACTCAACAGCGAAAACATTTATGTCAAAAGTTCAAGCCTCTGTCGTTAAAGTTCCAGACAGTGAACTCATTGAATTTCTTCAACGTTACATTCGACGTAAGAGAAAATATTATGCCATCGTTGAATTTATACAGTCAGGAATGCAAAAGACTTCTGAGGAGATGGAAAGAATTATTGACAAACACCACTTACGTCAATACTCAGGAGTTTACGATATGAAACGACTTACAAACTACATTCTGTCAAAACTTTCAAAATACCCCTTCAAAAAATATCCTTCAAATACTTTGTTAGTTTGCGACGACTTCGCCGGAAAAGGTTTAGTTTCAAAGCCTGACTCACCATTAGCTAACATCATAACTAAAGTCAGACATTACCACTTAACTGTAGCAATACTTATGCAAACATGGAGGTTTTTAACTTTAAACATAAAACGTCTCATAACTGACTTCGTTATCTTTCAAGGTTTCTCACGTTATGATATTGAACTCATTTGGAAACAGTCAGGTATAACATTACCTTTTGAAGAAATTTGGGAAGCATATAAGTCTCTCATCTCTCCTCGTTCATACCTTGAGATTCATATCATGACTAATACCATTAAAGTCAAAAATATTCCATGGGAACGACCAACATTGTTTTAAAGTTTAACCTTCAACTGACTGATGGTAAACAAATTCCATGCATCTCTGTCGCCATTTCTGTTAATATTTTTGCTGTCATTCATATCATCCACTTCTCCATCTGTTAACTTTTGAGGATATGCGTTAGAATAGCTGTTCTTAAATGAAGGCTTTTCACCTTTGAGAGCATAAACTCTATAACTTTCTGCATACTTTATGTTTGAACCTCCTGAGCCATCATTGACATAAATTTTTATAGGCTTCCACCCTTTGTTCATGTTCCTGCTTCTTCCCTTTGCTCTTTTGTTCAGTAGTTCTACATCTTTATACACAGCTCCTGTCTCAGTGAATTCAACAATATTTTCATTCGTTAGCTTTACATTCAAACCCTTGTCGAGTATATTGTTCATTTCATACATATAAAAGGTTTTTATTCTATATGAAATGAGAAGCAAATCCATCTTAGCTGGTGCCGTTAATGTTCCAATTGAACCAACATCAAATGTTGACTCACGAACGACAAACAATATTGTCATAAAGAACTATAGTTCAGAGTGTTTGAAAGAACCAGAACCAGAGCTGAAATCCGTGAATTTAAACACAGCTTCAAACGCTAACGCTACATCAGATGTTAAGTTAGAGTATCCACCACTGGACCAAATTCTTTCAAGAGAAGCCAACGACAATCCTTACACAAATGTTCAAACAAATCCTTCAGATAACGTAGACCATTACCTTCTTCAGTTATACCAAACAATTTTACTCAAAGACGATAAGAAGCTTTTGACAAATCTTATAAGTAAGAACCAAATAATTCTAACAAAGGAGGACCTTGAAAATGTTATCTCACGAATAACAGGGAAACAATGTGTCATTGACTATCTCGACCCTGAAATCGAATGCTGTGGTCAAACGCCACCATTCATGAAAATAGGTAACATCCGCATCATTGAAACACCAGGAACTACAGGAGTTGAGTTTAAGTATAAATATTCGAACGAGTATACAAAACTTTCAACAGAATATAAACTTTGCTTGAAATATGTTTTAGTAAATTAAAGCAATTTGTAATATCTATCCAAAACTTCTTCAACAGTATCGAACTCATCTTCATAATGCAAACCTAATCTTATTGACTTGGTGCAGTTTTCACTAACACAATATAGCGCTTTGCGCTCGGCGCCTTTGACGCCTTTTTCTGTTCTCTTGACTGACATAACTAACTCATTTGTTTCATCAAACAGCAACAACCAAAGTTCATGACCTAATACATAACATTCATACTTTATATTTTTAGCTCTGAGTTCTCTTGTAAGCTGTTGCATTTAATATTTTCTAAAAAGTCAACTTCAACAGTCATTCGCACTGGTGCCTTCAGTTCTACAGGCTCACCTTGAAAGTCAACAAGTCTGAATTGCATGTCTTTCAAATTATGAGGACTAATGCGAACCCATTTACCTAAATGAGTTGCTATGACAGGAACATTTGGAATGAACATTGAATTTACTGCATAACAGAAAGATTTATACTCTACTGAACCTTTACTATTAACTCCTGAAATGCCTGTGACATTAGCTATTTTAGACTCAATGTATAAACAATTACCATAACATACGTATGGAACAGATTTCATCTCAATCGTTTTGTCAACACTTTTCAAAGGAAATGTCATATGATATGCTCCCAAAAGAAGTTGTACTCTATGACTCATTCGTGTTATCTTGAACTCTTTCTTGCTACTGAACTTCAATGTTCCCTCAGAAGAGAGTTCGACATCTATGTTGTCAATAGTTTCTTCATTTATGAGAGTATCTATGACTCCAGCAATTTTATCTATTCTATACTCTGCTCTGTTAGGAAATGTTATAAAACTTCTTTTGTCATCTATTTCAAACTCCATGAAATCTGTTTCGTCAGTTATGACAAAAGTTGCGATAGTATTGAAGTCAACAACTCTGAAAGCAAGTGCTTCATTCTGAAGACCTAAGTTTGTTTGTAGCTTTACTGTCCCGTATTCGTTTGGGTCTGTACTTTGCAAATAGAACAACATTTTATTCTCATTAAAATATGACTATTGCTGCATATGCGTATGAAACAAATGAAGCAAGAAGAGCACATGAACTAGTAAACGAAAACTCAACTTTAACCATTGAAGGCAATGATTTAGTCATTGACGATGGAAAAACTAAAAAAGTCATTGATTTCGATACTTTTAACACTTATGACCCATTCATTACAACAAGCAAAGTTCCTATTATAAATGATGGAACGGTGCAATATATAAATTCTACAGTAGATGCCTCATTAGTGAAAGTACTGAATGTTCTCATTGAATTGTTAAAGAGCTTTCGATTTGACGACAACATTAAATGCTTAAAGAATTTAGTCATGAATGAGAAACAAATTCTTGGCGTTGCTGGTAGCAGTAATGATGTACACCTTATGACATTAGAATATTATAACGAACATAAAGATGAACTGAAAGGAGAGAAGGGTGACACCGGACCTCAAGGACCTCAAGGACCACAAGGAATACAAGGAATACAAGGACCTCAAGGCGAAAACGGTTTGGATGGAAAGGATGGAAAGGATGGAAAAACTGCTAAATCATGGATATGGGACCTTATAAATACTGGTTTAACAGCTGCTTCATATGGAGTTCTTCAATACCAAATCGGAAAGATATGGGCAGTACTTGGTGAAGAAGTTTTAAATGACGTTAAAAATGCTTTGAACTTCATTTCAAATGGTTCGGATACTATTAAAACTTTATCTGGTTGGATGCAAGAAACAAGGAGTCAAATAGATACTGTAAGACGTATAGCAAACAATGCACGTACGGGATTGGATACTTTACGACAAGCACAAAATACACTAAAGGAAGCAAATGATATTCTTGGCTCAGTATCAGGCATGCATGAAGATTGGCTTAAAGGTATTGACAAATCTTTAAAAAATCACAGTCAGTCTATTGCTGACTACAAGAAAAGTATAGATTTTTTACATAGTGCTATGGACGTACATGATGGAAGCATAAGGAACTTACTTAATGCTAACAATAACTTACCAGGAACTATTAAAGCATTTATAAAGTCCTTTGTAAAACCTGGTGCTCTAACATTTAGGTCTTTGAGAGCAAGAGCATTGAAGTCAAGAGATGCAAAAACTCCAACAGAACCTACAGAAGGAACTGAAACAACAGAAACTCCAGAAGAACCACCAAAACCAACAGCTAATGAAATATTGTTCGAATATTTTCCAAGGTACTCTGTTCTCATTGCATACATTCAAGAAATACTTAAGAAAGCAGACTTGACTTTAGGAGATGATGAAAGTTCTGTATATCTTTCGTTCCAGTTTCAAATAGCAGAACTTTTGAGACAGATATACTTAATGTATGACAACATCTCTGATTTCACAAGATATGATGACGACCATGACCCCCAACACGGTGAAGAAGAAGTTTTACAAACATCCATTAAGACAGGAAAGGTTTTAACACAAAGTCTCATTATTGACACCAAAGATGGCGAAGTGGACGTTCTTCAAGAGCTGAAGAAAAATACTTCTTCGGGAGGTGGTGGTAGGCATGAACTTGAAATAAATGAGATAGAAGAGAAATTAGCCGAAAAAGCAGATAAAGAACATAAACACAATATCTCCGATATAAATGAACTTCAAGCTACATTAAATAGTAAAGCGGACAAGAACCATGTTCATTATATAACTTCAGATGAACAGATTATAACGGACTACCATGGATATTTAACACGAACTGAAGAAAAAGTGAAGACGGAAGATGTTAATGAAAGAAGATATAAATACATTCGTGCTAAAGGTTATGACATAAGCTGTACTGTACATTATGACACAGGTAAAGCGCTAGAAGCATTTAGTTATAACGATGAAATTTATGCCTCTACTTTCAATGTTAACGGTGTATTAGTTGAACCAAGATTTACTTTGAGAGTTAAGTCAAAAATAACGTTTGAAGATGCTATTAAAAGTAAAGCTGACAAAGTTGAACTCGAAGCAATGAACAAAGTTTTGAAATCTCATAAACACAACATCTCCGATATAAATGAACTTCAAGCTACATTAGACAGTAAAGCTGACAAGAACCATACACATAAATCCTTCACTACTGTTAGAGCAGACGACATAATATTGAACTATACCCTTGGTTCAAGTGCACCTTTAGAGAATCCAAGTACAAGCGTAAAAGATACACTAAACTCCTTAAATAGTAAATGTATGAACATTGAAGGTCATACCAGAAACTTTGAAGCATATGAACTACCATCAATGTTAGACAAGAAAGCCGACAAAAATCATACACATAAATCCTTCACTACTGTTGCTATAGAAAGTATTGAAGGAACGGTTGAAGAAACTGGTGGGGATGCATTATATTGTAAACCTCCTAACTTTCCACAAGGTTTAACATCGGATGACGACATAACGACGATGAGAAACATTAGATGTAAAGATGTTTATGTCATGAAGGATGAACATAATATTAAATTCACTGCTCAAGATTTATATGACAAGAAAGCAGACAAAACAGAGCTTCAAACATTAAAGACTCAGATTCTTGAAACATTATATCCTATAGGCTCTATTTATACGTCAATGAACTCAACAAATCCAGCAACAGTTTTAGGTTTTGGTACATGGCAGCAGATTGTAGACAAATTCTTATACTGTGCTAACTCTTCAAAGCAAACAGGAGGTTCGAAGAAAATTACTGAAGCAAACCTTCCACCGCACACTCATACAGGAACTACAAACACAACAGGTAGTCATTCACATTCAATAACAAAAAGAGGTTATACAAATCTTGCAGCAGGTTCGGATAGACAGGGAATGAATAGATATGATATTTCAAGTGACCCAGTAGATTCAAGCGCAGGTATTTTCTGTGGAACCGCAGGAAATCATTCACATACTTTCACAACAAATCCAACAGGCTCGGGTGCAGATTACATGCCACCATTTGTGACTGTATTTGCATGGTACCGCGTTCAATGAACGCGCTTGAGCCTGCTTTGCTGGCTTACCGTCTTGAATAAAATCTTTAACTTTACATAAATGAGCTTGAAAGAAGTATTCGAACAACATCCATGGAGGTTATTTAAGAAATTCAATGAAGCTGCAAAGAGTTCGGGATTTACTAACAGAGCTGAAGTGAAAAGGTTCTTTGACAAAAATGTTGTACATCAAACAAAAATAAACCCTTACGACTACTTTTTACCAATTTACTCCAACGCTCCTGACGCATACCAATTTGACACTCTCATTCAAAGCAGAAAAGGAGGACATAAACCATTCCTCATCTTCATTAATGTTAACACTCGTAAAGCATATGCATATCCAATGAAAAATAAAGGAACTCGTGAAGTGTTAAGAGTTTTACAAAAGTTCGTGGCAGAACATAGCCCAAGTACTTTAACATCAGACCAAGACAGTGCATACCTCAGCAATGAAATCACAGATTTTCTCATTAAGCATAACATAACTCACTACACTACTGAAGACCATAACCATAACATACTCGGCATCATAAACCGCTTCATAAGAACGCTCAGAGATTTAAATCAAGAGCGAGACTTTACCGAAGAAACAATGAAACATTTTCTCGAAGTATATAATTCCTCAACACATTCTACAACAGGACATACACCAAATTCAATGACACAACAACAAGAAGAAAAGTATATACAAAAGAAACGAAGCCAAACACAAAATATCAGAAATTCAACACAATTTACCCTCATTCCTGGTACAAAAGTTCGTGTAGTTCTTGACGACAAACCGTTGACAAAGAAACGTTTAAGGTTAAGTCGAAATTATTATATAGTAGACTCTACACAAGGTAATGGATATCTTATAAAAGCTGCCAACAACTCTATTGCGTTTTATCCTCGTCATAAATTAGTTGAAAGTAGTAATGGCAAACTTGCTGAAACCATTGACGAAGCAAAGCGAGGAGTGGTTATTGAAATACTTGGCTACAACATAAACGATGACACTTATAAAGTAAGATATGAAGGAGGCGTTGAAGATGTTATACCATCTAAGAACTTGAGAGAGTCGAAGCCAACACATCTGGGACCATTAGAGCGGGAGTACTGGAAAGACAAAAATATGCCAGAAAGAATAAGAAAATTCTTCTAAACTTTTTCATTAGATGTAAATCAGACAAAAATATAATTTAGGTGAAGAGGTGAGATCTCACCTGTTTTTTCACCTCATTTTTCACCCTCATGAAAATTCATGAATTTCCTTAAGATAGAAAAATAAAGTTAGTTTTATTTTTATTTATTTTTTTATTTTGTATGTAAGAACAGAAATGTCAGTCGAAGCAAAAACATTCACGAACAAATCTAATGGCGAAACATTCACAAAAGGCACTTATAACGGTATTGAAGTCTTACGTAGAGACAAGGATGGTTACATTAATGCAACAAAGATGTGCCAACAGTTTAGGAAAGACTTTAGAAAGTTGTTGGAAAATAAGTCCTGGGAAGAGTATTATAAGGCATTTTGTGAAGAATATAGCAACCGTCGGAATTCCGGCGGTTGGTTTTTATACAAAATTCATGCAGGAATTCCTGATGAAATCAAACAGGTTAGAGGAACGTATGTAGACCCAAGACTTATAAACTATATAGCAATGTGGGCTTCTCCAAAATATTGTATAGCAGTTGGAAAAAATTATGGACTCCATAGACAAGAAAGTTCATGAGAAATTAGATGAAGAAGAACTCGAAGATACAGTAGAGAATGCTAAACATTTGTTTGAAGAAGAAGTTAGAAAAATGCATGAAAAACAATTAGAACATGAACGTGAGATATGTTATGGTTATAGAGATTCTCCATACGAACTAGACCAATGGGAACAAGAAGATTTAAAGAGAGAATTTAGAGAATATGAACTCGCTAAGATAGCATTTGAAGCTGCAGAAAAGAAGTTAAAAGTTTGGGGTCGTTTTGTACAAAAATATTGTGAGTAAATGAACCATTTATTTTTATTGAATTCACCAAAAATATATTTTAGGTGAAGAGGTGAGATCTCACCTGTTTTTTCACCTCTTTTTTCACCCTCATGAAAATTCATGAATTTCCTTAAGATAGAAAAATAAAGTTAGTTTTATTTTTATTTATTTTTTTATTTTGTATAAAAGATATGATTTCAACAATAGGTTCTACAACACTTCAAACAACAACAGCACCAAACTCGTTAGTTATGAATCCTACGTCAATGTTAGTAGAGATGAAAAACTTCATTCCTTCTTCATATACTTTTGAAACAGAAATCCAGAAGATAAAGCAAGAACTTTTAACATGTAATTTAGACTGTAGTGCGAAAGATGAAGAAAATGAACAGTATCTTTATGAAATGCAGGACATTATTGACCATTTACCCAAATTGCCTGAAATCCAACAACAAAAACTCACTATTCCTGAATTCGACGAAATTGAAGTTAAAGTTACTGACTCAGTAGAAATAAAGAAGTTCATACGTAAAGTAAATTATGAATTCCTTGGTTTTCATTGCAACCATAAAGTTATGGACAAAGATTGCGACATGGTATATAAAAACATTTCTGACATATATAAATCTGAAGAATTTAAGACCTACGATAACTTTGTTTCATTAGTTGCTGAATGTGTATGGCAGATAAGAGATAAAGATAGAAGAGGTAAGGTATGGAACGAACAAATAAGACCCGCTATGTTTGAGATGAAGAGAGCAATTGACGCCTTAGTTGTTCTAGCAGGTCAAATTTCAATGTATAACGCAAAAATGAACCCGCAATGTTCAAAATGTAAGGCAGCAATTAGGAAATATAACTACTCAGTCAAAGAGATAGAAAGAATGAGAAACGACTATGCAGATTTAAAGAAAGAAGTAGAAAACCCAGCAGAAGATAAAATGGACATGTTGACATTTCTTAATAAAAACTATCCAACAGCAGAAGATTTCCTTCTATCTGACGTCAAGAAGAAGTATAAAGAAACCTTCGGTATTGTTAAAACTTTTGACATACTGACAGAAGAAATAGAAGCTACGAAATTGTTTAGGATTTCAAATATACATCGTACAATTCATGTAAAACGCTTGTGAAAAAACAGGTGAAAAAAGAGGTGAGATCTCACCTCTTCACCTAAATTATATTTTTGCTTTAATTAAATGCTTTCCGGAAACGTCGATGAAAATCATATGGACAAATTATATGAAAAAATTAATAATGATTACCCCTCATTAACCAAGGAAATGACGGATTCTATAGTTCGTAAATTCGATGAAATACAGGATATGTGGTTCGACAGATTCGACATGAACGATAAGGAAAAGAGAAAGAACGATAACAATTTACTTACTAAAAGAATCCTAAAATCTAAAATAGGTGAAGCTTCAACATTTAACACAGTACATAACTTTTACACCGCTGTTTATATTTTCAATAATTTATTTAACGATGAACGAGAAAGAAAAAGTATGTTTAACGGAAGAAATGAATATGATTTTATCCTTTGTGCTGTTCGGGATGTTGACATGAAACTAAAGAAAATATTCTTATTACAAGATGACACGGTTGAAGATGAAGTCAATGAGTTTTTAAATCGTGATTTAAATGAAATTGATGAAGTTATGACCGAATGTTATAAAAAGTTCAAGGGGTGAGAAAACAGGTGAAAAAACAAGTGAGATCTCACCTCTTCACCTAAAATATATTTTTGTTCAAAGCTTCCACGAGAGAAAAGATTCCTCATTCGCTAAGGATTCCAAAAATGAAAAAATCATTGATTTCGGCTGAGAAAAACAGCAAAACCCTTCTTCCACGGGAACAAAGAAATAAAGAAGAAATAAAGAAGAAATAAAGAAGAAATAAAGTAAATTTTTTATTTATTCCCGTGGAAAATAGAGCACTTTTATGACACTTTTTATTCACGACAAACAAAGAAAATAAGAAAATACGGCGCTGTCGCGGTTCGAACCACAGACCTTGACCCCTCCATAACACCACCTTAGACCACTGTGCTACGTAGCCTGTCGACATAAGATTTTATAAATTGCATATTTGACGTAAATTTATTTCCATCTAGCTTCCCACCGCATAAGATATTCATACGTGTTTGTAAGACATTCATTAAAATTCTTTTCTATTGCATCTAATCTTGCGTTATTTTTTTCAATAGCTTGTCTGTATTCTTCATCATCTCCAGCAGTGTTTGGGTCTTCACGTTTAAAATATTCATTGTTAACCAATTTTTTATCTACAAATTTTATTAGTGTTTGATTCACTTCGTTATGATAACGGTCATATTCTTTCAATACGTAAGTGAAGACAAAATGCATCGTACCTTCAATCTTAAAGCTTAAAGAACTTTCAACACAGTTTTGAGGGTCTGTCAGTGCGTCAATGAGATAGTATTCGAAGTCAGTCAATAATCTTTTTCAAGTCATTTCATACAGGATAAAATTTAATGTTGTGAAGAAATAGTGTTTATCTCAGAAAAAATAACGCTAATTTTATTTTTATTTATTTTTTTATTTTGTATGTAAAGACAGTAATGACAACATTAGAGAACACAACAACTGCTATCGTTCATGAAGCCATAAATGAAGAATATGAGTACATACAGTATAACAAACAATTGAGACTCATTCGTTCAGTCAAAGACGATATGTACCAAATGCAAAGTATTTTGACTGCTCTTCGTTCTACAAAGCAAGCATATCATTGGTTTGAAAACCAACAGACAAAAGAACTTTTAGAAGAATTTCCTCATATGTTTGCTACCCTCGGAAAACCGAGGGTAGAGATTCCGTACGAAAATCGCAAGAATTTGGCTCCTGGTTTGAGAGGATATTATGTTCATAGACTTTTAGTAAATGCTGTTGCAATGTGGGCTTCACCTCGTTATGCTTGTTATATTTTCATGATGTTAGATGAACTATATAAAGCAGAACGTGGAGAGATGGAAAAGAAACTTCAAGCAAAAGATGAAGTCATTGAATCCAAAGACAAAAGCATACAGAAAAGAATACCGCGTTCAGTACCAAAAGGAAAGGAAAAGAGTTATAAGTATATGATATATACTGAAGAGTTGGAGAAAGAAGAAGACAGAGATATGGTTATGTTGCATTTAGTCAGAAGAAACAACAAAAGCTTTTACGACCTTGCTAAGATTTACAAATCTGACAGAAACTGGTTCTATCGTGAAAACTTACCGATTTCAATGACACCGAATGAGCAAATAAAGGAAATTGTCAAAAATACTCTTCCTCAAACACACTATGACATCAAAGGTTGCACAATACTTACATTCAAAGAAGACTTAACATTACTGAAGGAAAAAATAACAGAGTATTTCGATAACTTCAAAGAGGAAGAATGAAAATCTAAGCTAATTTTATTTTTTTTTATAAAATTTTATCTCATATGAAAGAACATGAATTTAGAATATTCAGAACTCTTGACAGAAGAGGAGAACAAACAGCATGTAAAAGATTATGCAAAATTTCTGAAGACATACAAAGCATTTAAACAATATCTAAATGCTTCTAAAGATTATGCAAAATTTCTGAAGGTATATAAAGCTTATGAAAAAGCGTATGAAAAGTTTATACATTGGGGAATTGTTGTAAAATATCCATATGAAGACTAACCAAAAATATATTTTTGCTTAAATAGCTTCAGGGTCAATTTCTTCAACCATTTCACTTCCTTCGTCAATGTCAATTGAAGCTTCTTCAACCTTTGGTAAGAATTTCTGTATAACATCTTTGTTCGTTATTGTCTTCAGAGATGAAGGATAATATTTCACATTTGTTTCACCCTTCTTATATTCTTTCTGTTCGGAAAGATTCATAGCAATACTGAAGAAGTCAATGTTAGAGTTCTTTATGACAGTATAATGAGTATCTTTGACATTCACGAAGAAACTCTTTTGTTTCAAAACTACTGCTAACTCTTGTGAAGTATAACGTTTGCGGTCAATGACGATAGCTAATGGTCTGACATACTGACCAAACTTAGATTCTTTCACAAACTTCTTGTTAAAGATAACATTCACGTTTGAAGCATTATTGAACTCATTCTTGATGGCATTAGCGAGAGCATTGTATGAAAAGAACTTGCAATCTTGCATGTGTTTCATTAAAATAAAAATATTAAATTATTTTGAAAAATAACTTAAAAAAAATCTAATCTAATTTTTTCAAAAATATTTTTTTTTATTTCCTACTAAAGATGTATCGGAAGTTGTCTAAGTTAGAACACTCGGAAATAAAACAACTTCTTACAGAAGCTAATATAGATGTTGCAAAGCATTACGCAACAAACAAAAAAGCACTCGCTGACTTCATTAAAGACTATAATGGTGCAATAAGTTATGATAGAATTCATGATTACATTAATAACAAAACATTTCCTTTAAATGACGTTGCTATTGACTTATATCATAGACGTTCAGTACCTCATGAAGTAAGAAGAGAGATGTTTGACATAACAAATGCAAACGTTGGTCATACTCGTAAAGCTCTTTCACATGATGTTCGTCAAGAGATGTTTGACATAACAAATGCAAACGTTGGTCATACTCGTAAAGCTCTTTCACATGATGTTCGTCAAGAGATGTTTGACATAACAAATGCAAACGTTGGTGAAACAAGAAGAAGAGACGACACACTGAAACAACAGAGAAGAGAGATGTTTAAGAGCGCTATAGAACAAGTTCGCAAAGCTAACGATGTCATTCGTTCCATTGACGACAAACCAAAAGAAGGTGAGAGATGGTTAAAGAAAGATGAAGAGAATAGGAAGAGAAATGTGAAGTCAGGCAATAGACTCATTGACTTTAACATCGAAGCTTTAGATGAACCAAACAGAGACTACTTACACAAACATTTCGGTAAGGTTTTCATGAGACTCTTAGAGAAAATTAAAATAAACTCACAACAAAGATGGATGGTATGTTATAAACTTGGTGGAAAGTATGAATGTTCTACGTTAAACCTCAATAATATTGGAACACTACTACATCAGCTCTTGAAGGAGAACTTTATATCAGAGATAGAAGCAAATGCTGCAGGTATTGTTGAAATGCACTATGACTTCTTCTTGACAAACATAAAGAATCTTACCGAAATAAAGATGTATGATTTAACAGAATATGAAGGCTTGACGATGTCAGATGTAAAGAAAGGCAAACCAAAAAAGAGACCATATAGAGATGAAAGCACACTGACAAATGACCAGAAAGCCATTTTGGAAGCTCTTAAGCAAACAGGAAACCCAGCACTTATAGAAAGCTTTTGGAAAGATAATGGTGAAAAGAAGTTTTATAAGAAGAGAAGCGGTCAGTTCTGGAAGTATCTTTGCACATTACCTATAAATCTTGAACGCTACCAAATCTTCAATGAACTGAACAAAAGAACTGCAACACTTATGACAGAAGACAATTGTTTCGTTTATGCTTGCATTCAGGCTGGAGTAGATGAAGAAACTATTGACCACATGAGAGAAGTCATTCGTGTTAGAGACTTTCCTCAAAGCAAAGTACAAGAAATTTCTGACGCAACAGGTATAGCATTTAATGTTACCATTGGTTACTTCAATGACTCAAGACATAATGAAATAAAGAGATACATACCAAAAGAATGTGAAACTGTTAGAACTATTGACTTACTTCTTGTTGAAGACCACTACATGCTAAACGAAAGATTACCAATGACAACATATTTCATTCGCAACTATATAGAAATTCTCAAAGCTTGTGGTGGAATGAACATTGAGAAACAAATGAAGATTTATACAAAGAGAGAAGATAAATATGTAGTTCGTTATGATAGAACAACACCGTTATGGAATGTTATGAAAACATTGTGGGAGTGCAAATATTTCGAACCTATTTCTTATGGAGAACTTTTCACATATACGACTGACTTATATAAACAGAACCTTGCACCATTTAAAGATTTGACATATGCTCCAAAGTATTGTGTACAACTGAAGAAGAAAGCAGAGTCAAAAGAAGTAAATAAAAATAAGTGCAAGTTCATTCCTGAGCACGTTTTCTTTGCTGACTTTGAGTGTAGCACAGACGGCTTTCATAAAGCCTTTAACATCTGTTATGACAGTGAAGATGGTTCAGTGAGTGAAAGCATATGGGGTCAGAACTGTGCAACAGAATTTTTGGAACGACTTCCTGACAAGAGTTTAATATATTTCCATAACCTCAGTTATGATATAAACTTCATCTTAAGACACATGACAGAAGTGAAAGGAACTCCCATCATTAAAGGTTCACGAACAATGCAAATAACTGGCTTATATAAAGGAAGGGCAATTATTATAAAAGACTCTTACAGTGTTATAAATAAGAAGCTTAAACTATTTCCTGCTATGTTTAACTTACAAACAGGACCGAAAGAAGTATTTCCATACAACTACTACAGCAGTGTTTTGTTAGCAAATGACAACAGAACTGGTGTCATTTCTGAAGCGTGTAAGTTTATCCAGGATGCGGATACGTTCATGAAAAACATAGATTCCATCAAAGGTTGCAGAATAGATGAAAACCACTTCGACTTAGAAAAGTATAGCACATTTTATTGCAAACAAGATGTAAGAATTTTAAGAGAGAAGGTTTTGTTAAGTTCCGCAATGACATATTGAAAGAATTTGATTTAAACATTTATGACTACGTTAGTATTTGTTCTATTGCTAACAAATTGTTTGAGAACAGAGTGTACTTCCCGAATGGAAATTATATGACCTCTCAAATAAACCAAGAGAATTTATTTCGAGATGCATTCAAGGTGGAAGATGTATGTTGTCAGATAACATTAAACAAAAGAGCGAAAAGAAACTCATTGCTGATTTCGACGCTGTTTCATTATATCCATCCGCTATAGCAAGACTTTATACTTTAGAAGGTATTCCAAAGGTTATGAAGAAAGAAATGTTAAGCACAGAGTATCTCATGAGACATTTATTTGATGACGACCAAAAGGAACCCATTGGTGAAAAGTTTATGTCTGGCTTCTTTGTTCTCATTAAGATAACAGAGATTGGAATACATAGACACTTTCCTTTAATAGTTTGTGACCCTGAACTAAATCCAGAACTTAATGTTCCCAGAAGTTCAAACACTTGCTGTTTAATGTATGTTGACCATATAACATTACAAGACCTCATAAAATATCAAGGTGTCAAATGTGAAGTGTTGCAAGGATACTATTACGATGGAAACAGAGATATTAGAATAAGAGATGAAGTAAAGAAGTTGTTTGAGTTAAGGTTAAAGTATAAGAAAGAAGGAAATCCTTTGCAAGAAAATATAAAGCTCATTCTGAACAGTATTTATGGCAAAACTATTCTATCTCCTATTGAGTCAAAAATAACCATAGTAAATGACAAAGATGCTATAAGATATGCCATCAGAAACTACAACCATATAGTGAAGTTCGAAGGTTTGGATGGTTCAGATAAAACTATTTTCAAGCTAACGAAAAGTATTTGCAGACACTTTAACTTCTGTCCACTTGGTGTTAACATTCTGTCTATGTCGAAGAGAATAATGTGTGAAGTATTCTGTACTGCTGAAGATATGGGTCTTCAAATATTTTACCAGGACTGTGATAGCATGCATATTTTCAATGAAGACATCCCAAAGCTTGCAGCAGAGTTTAAGAAGAGATACGGTCGCGAACTTATAGGAAAGAACCTTGGTCAATTTCATTCTGACTTCGCAGAAATAACACCTGGAAAACAAAGTTTAGCATACAAGTCAATATTTTGTGGAAAGAAGACTTACATAGACTTACTCACGAATGATTTAAATGAAGTTGCATTCATGCACGTTGCAAAGGTGTCAAACAAGACGTCCTTGCTTTAACAGCAAATGAAATGTTTCCTGAAGCTATACAATGCTATTACAATGAAGATAAGAACATTCACATACCTGTTGGAACATATGACAAAGACTCTGAGTTCAGTTTAATGAAACTTTACAAAGCACTTCATGATGGTCAAGAGATTGGATTTGACTTATGTAAGTCTTCTAGTCCTTGCTTTTGACGAAAGTTTAACTTCTCAATAACGACTAAAACAAGCTTTATTCGTAAGTTGAAGTTCTGAGGTCATTTATTTTTGTCAGCAATGAGGTCATTATGATAAAAATAAACCGCTAGCGGCAAGGGCGAAGCCCATGAGGTCATTTACAATACTGCGATGGTAGAGTTTAAGAGTTGTGCTTCAATGTAGAGACAGTCCTTATGGTCTGGAGGTAGCAAAAAGGTGCTTTATGGTCATGAGTGGAGAACATGTCTATCCAAAACTCACGATTGAAGCCAGTAAGCTTGTAATACTTAGGATTTGGCAGTGGTGAAGTTCTTGTATGACCAATGAACTCATTTTCAACTCCCTTACTTAAGTTTGAATATAATATAGCTTGCTTTCTATCCAAATGCCAGGTGTTACAATCTTTGAAAATTCATTTTTCCTCGAAGCATTGCATAATAATTGAAAACATTTTTGAAGTCATCATTTGGTTCAGAGATTTGAAATCTTATACGTAATGGATTTTTTTTCTTTTTAGCTACTTCATTGAATGGTGAGAATACAATGAATTGACATCATGAGTTCCATCTTCATTTTCATTAAATTCATAATGAAAGTCTATAAGTTGTGGCCGACTACCTTCTTCCTTCAGTTGTGCAAGAAACTCACGTAAAGGCTGTAAAGTTTTGTACTTCAATGTTGAACTTTTTCTCGAACATCTCATTAAATGAAATCATACATTGCAACAATGTTGTATCGTCTTTAAAGTATTTGTATATGTGAATGTTTTGGGCGCTTAAAGACTGTTCGTCATTTTCTATCTCGACTTGAAGTATAAAGTCAACCTTTCTGAAAGCACGTGTTATATACATAGATGTTATGCCAATGTACTTCTCTTCATTTATGTTCACAATCCAGTCTGTTGGAAACTTAAACGTTACTCTGTTCCCCTTTATTTTGACGTCAGGGTTTTCACTACTGAACGCAACAGTTAAAGGTATTTGTCTATACATTTAATTCGGATAAAAATAAACCATTTACTCTTTCTTCTTCAGTTTGCTTCTTTTCTTTTGCTTCAGCTTCTTCTCTAGCTTTCTTCGCCAGCAAACGTGGGTTCTTTGTCTTCCAGCAGCTAATGCAGCAAGTTGTTTTTCACTAAGTTTTCTCTTTGGTCTCTCTGGCTTTTGTTCTTGTTTTTGTTCCTTCAGTTCGGATAAAATTTGCTCACGAATTTCTTTCTTCAATGCTTCAAATCATCTATGACCCTTGGGTCTTGTCCGTAGGGCTTGTCTGAGTCATTTGACTGCAGATAAAAAACAAAATTAAAACTTTAACCGTGTAAAATGAGCTTGTCAAAATCAGAGCGAGAGTCTATTATATTAAATGACGCCAGAGGAATACAACATCCTTTCTATTACGTAAGTCAGAGTAAAGATGGTAAAATATACGTAAGAAAAAGAAAGGTTCCATTAGCGAATGCAGAAAGCGACAACATTAAGGTGCATGCAAGGGCGAAGCCACGAAGCTTAAGCCTTCTTTCAAACTGAAAGTCAAATAGAACAAGAAGAAAAGAAGCCAGATGTACTTTCAATAACGAACCAAGAGCTTATTGCAAAGTTCGTGAATTTCATTGAAAAACAAACCGACGGTCAAAGAACCCTGACCCGCCAGTGAAAGAAGTTGAGACAAAAGAGAATGTACAGTTCATTGAAAATGTCAAGAAACAACTTCCACCACGAATGCCAAGAAGAAGAGTGAGAATAATAAGTAAATAGATATTTTTATCCGAAGTAAATACATGCAGAACGAACAGTTAAACGAATTTACTCCAGCAGAGCATATTCATCAGATTCGCTCATATTTCGATATCATAGACAATGCAGTTCAAATTGTGACACTAATAGAAAATATTCTGACGCAAAGATTCCATCACAACCTGGAACTGCTAAAGATAACACATGGGTAACATTCAATCTCTCACCTCCTGTGAAAATATGTTGGACCTTTACAATACATTCATTACGTATAAAATGGAAGGTCAATTTATTGTAGATAAAGAAATTGGTTCAGGTTCCAATAAAACAAACCCACCAGGATTTTGGATTGGTTTCGATGACGCTTTCTATGCAGTTGCTGGATATCAAATCCTTGCAAATGGTCGTATCGTATATTCTCAAGACAACGCAAGAGAAGAAGCATATATAACTTCAAACTCACAAACTACCGAACAAATAAAGAAAGTAGATGTTTTCTCAAAGACTCGACATGAAGATGTATGGAGTCATTCGGGAACATGCAGAACAGGACAAATTGTTAGTGGTCCAATTACAGCAGGAAAATCATTTGATTTTAAGCTTCGTTTAAGAATTCCTGTTAGAAGATTCCTTCCATTAGAAGCTATTCGATTTATTCCAGCTTTTGAACATTCAGCTTAAAGTAAAGTTCAGTAGCGACGCCTTACAATGCACATCTATATCTGTAAATGATATCATTGCTTTCAATCCAACTCTTAAAGTTGCATTTGCTTCAGATTCAAATCCACCGACAAATAAATTTGTTCCATGGAATGAACCATTCACTATGATAACGAAGGCAGTAGAAGCTAGTGGAACAGTTACTATTACAACTGTAACCCAGCAACTATTTCGAACAAAGATGGATTTTAATGAATGTTTCATTCATCCAAAGTCATTCTCTTTAGACCCTAACATTTATACAGAACTTGTAGAACATTATACAAACGAGGCTTTATGTTTTCCTGTTAAAGTTATGGATTGGATTCCTATGGACGGTTCATTCTCAAAGAATACAGATAGTTCAAGTGCAACATTTACAGCAGCTTATACGCCTATTAATGTTAAAAGTATTTGGGCACTATTTAGAAAGAAAGACAACTATTATGTTAATTTTGAGAACCCTAAGTTTAAATATCTTCAGCTTTCCATGGGAGCTTATGGAAATATGCCTGCAGAACCTGAAAAATCATATGGACCTGTATTTTATGAAATGGTTGCGAACGCTTGCAATACAAACAATGATATGATAGGATTTAATGAAGATGTTATGAGGTCATTGGTGGATGATGGTAGTGTGGAACATAAATGGGATAGCTATGACAACACACATTTCTTATGTGGTTTTCCAACAGAAGTGGACTTTTGCTTCCAGCAAGGTCAAACATCTACTGCTCCAATAACATACAAATTGTCTGTTAAAGGACCTATTGAACTAGCAACTGAAAATGTACCAAAGCCACTTATTGGATTTATGAGGGATTGTTGCTTTGCCATTCAGGTGCGTGCTAATGGAATCCCATAATAAGATTAGATGACTATAACTTAGCTACGGACGACAGTGAGGAATAAAGGATGAACGTTTATTTTTAAAGCTTATAAATGAGTTCTTCATCAAGCTCTCGTGAACCTTCACCATCTATGAAACAAACTTTACCAAACGATTATGGAGCACCTATTGAATATTTCTTACGAGCTGCACAATGGCAAAGAGCAGTCTCACCAAGGTTAGGTGTTCCACCAGCTCCTGTCAAAAATAGCATTTGGTCAAGTCCTTATATAAGATATGGTCTCCCACTAGGTTTGCTAGCTACAGCAGGAGCAGTTATGATGTTGAAAAGAAATAAAGCAAATGTTGTAAATAATACTGAAGTAGCTGAAGTTAAACAAACTCCAACGCCTTCAATGACTCCTGAACCTATGGAAGTACAAACTCCTGTTCAAAAGTCAACTCCTAAACCGACTCCAACATTTAAACCAGAACCTACTCCTCAAATAAATCGTAAAACTCCTGCGTTTCCTTACTGAAAAAAATAACGTTATTTTTATTTAATATTATAATTTTTATTTGATTGAAATGACGACTAAAGTCACTGAAGCAATGAAACAAAAGTTTTTGGTAGAATACATTAAATCAGGAACTATTCCAGAAGGTTTTTACATTCATACTATGAAGGATGGTAGAGTTCAGTTTAGAAAGATAAAGCAACCATTAGATAAAGAAGGAATTTTGAGAAAGATTAAACTCCATGAGGACAACATTGCTGAACTTAAGAAGAAGTTAGAAGAGTTGGAGAAAGGAAGTGAGTTATAAAACAATGAATTCAACAGGGTGAAAAAAGAGGTGAAAAAACAGGTGAGATCTCACCACTTCACCTAAATTTATTTTTGCGCTATGTTTTCATACGTGTGGGAGTGGTGATATCATTTATTTTTTATTTTATTTTTTATTTTATTTTTATTTTATTTGGATGTAAATGACGAAAACTATTGAGATAACAAACTACAACGGTCATGAGTTCAAGAATTTGTTCTTCGTTCCTCGTGAAAATACATTCTATCAGATACGAGGGAGAAAGGGTAAAGTTAGTTTGAGCGTTTATGACTACAAACATAATGGAAAGTTTATACAAGCATACGATACAAACGGTAAACGTGTTTCATTAGCTTTGTCAAAACTTACTATCATTTATTTTGACAGTGATTTTGACCTATATGAAGAAGAAAGTGAGTCAGAAGATTATGAGCTGTTATGTGAAGCACAGCAATGGGAAGCGCTGCAATACTTTTGTAAGTGAGAACGTTTATTTTTACAGTAGTGAAGTCGTTTGTGAAAACGTTAGTGAAGTGAAGTGGTTGGCGGCTTTGTAAATATTTAATGTTAAGTTAGTGTTGTCGTTTGTGTTGTAAAATATATGTTAACGGTTTTGTAAAGTGTCAAATTCACAAGTATTGGTTATGGTGGAATGCAGTGCCACAGTACTCATGATATGTATACTAACTCTATTCTCATTTAATTACAGACCAAATCTATTTAAATTTCTGAATTTTTAATTTTCATTTCAATTTCAAATGAAATTAGAAGAAGAAACTATCTTTACTGTTATGGATCTTTGTAAATTTGGAGTTAAACAAGAAATACAAGCACAGTATGGATATGGTGAACGTGTCAGAAAAGAAAGATCTCAGATTTCATTCCACTGCAAATATCCAAAATGTCCTGCACATTTTAATGTTGCAATATTGGATCAAAATAAATACAAACTAATCAAAATAGTTGAAGAACATGATCATTCCGCCCCAAATGACAAAAGTCAATATTCGTCTGTCTTTTATCGCAAATATTTAGAACATTACTTCCAAACAGATGACAATCAAAGAGCGATAGCACAGCTAAATGCATTCAAAGATCTTGAAATTCCTCTTACAGGTCCGTCCATTCCAGAGATGTACGCTCAAAAACCACGTGCAATCAAACGATTTGCAGAAAGAATACATGCTCTTCAAACTAGATATTCTCCTGACGATGTTGTGTCATTGCAAATCTTTGTTCAGACAGTACAAGAAGAATCTCCAGATGATCTCATTGCATTTGAAGTCTCAGACAATAATATGTGTTTCTATTACGCGCCTTTTGAAGGCAAAGCTTATGCGCATAGTATCAAGACATTTCATATAGACAGCACCTATAAATTGTTGCGATCAAACATTCCATTGTATGCATTTACTGGCAAAATCAAAGATTTTCATATTTTCCCTTTTTTATATTTCTTTTGTCAATCAAACACTTATCAAAACATTCAAGTTTGCGTGTGCGCCTATCTCAGATGGGTAACAATTGAGCCAGAATACATTAGCATGGACTGTGCTCCACAGATAGCTCAAGCAATAGAAGAAAGCATTCCACAAGCTCAAATACTTTGGTGCGGAGTACATGTTCTTCGTGCAATTCTTCGCAAATCAAATAAGTTTTCTTCTCAAGAAAAATTTGAACAATTCTATAATTTGATGAAGGATTTAGTCTTCAAATTAGATGCAGAACATGAGGAAGAAGCAAATGCTGCCTATGATCAAGTTCTGGAGTTGCTCGACACAGATCCAACAGCATCTCAATACTTTAACAGACAATGGCGTTACAACATATCAAGATGGATTGCTCGTGACAGGCGTGAAGGCGACGCAACTAACAATATTGCCGAAGCTCATTTTAGAACACTCAAACATGACTATTTTCCTGATCGAAAAAATCTCAGAATTGATGATGTTATTATATAAATTTATACAAAAGTGATACCATCTTTCGTTATCAAACTCAAAATTGATCAAAATCCAGCAGATGACCGTGTCATTAGGATCATGGAAAAAGCAACTAACGCAGAAATTGATGTAAAAAGACAAAGAAAAATCGAGAGTATTTCAATGCTCAATAGATTGCTCAATGCTGTTAGTGATGACTCAATAGATCCCACTAAAATATATCCTACCTTGAAAGTATTATTACAAAGAACTCATTTTATTTAATTTTGATTTTAATTTTAGATTAAATTATTAAATTTTAATTCTTTATTTTTTAGGATTGTTAGCTTTGTAAGATTGCTTTCTCACAAGAGAAAACAAGTATAAGGTTTAAGCTGTATGTATTAAAGTTATAAATATTTGATTTTAAAAAAAATCAAGATTTTAAACTTTAAAGGTATTAATTATGATTATCTTTCTTTAGCTTTGCATGCTGTATGCTACTTTTGGAAACTGCTCTATTGTATTAGAATGTTTTTAAATTTTGCACCTAAAAATGCGTAATATTAAAAATTAAGGTATTAATTATGATTATCTTTCTTTAGCTTTACATGCTGTATGCTACTTTTGGAAACTGCTCTATTGTATTAGAATGTTTTTAAATTTTGCACCTAAAAATGCGTAATATTAAAAATTAAGGTATTAATTATAATTATCTTTCTTTAGCTTTACATGCTGTATGCTACTTTTGTCTTTGAGACATTCCATGATTTAAGTTAAGAAGCTTTAAAAAAAATGCAATAAAATAAAAAATTTTTAGTATCGATAATCTGAAATATGTTGTTTACTTAAGCCGCGAGCGAAGCAAGCGGCTTAGTTTCGTAATTTCATACAATCTTTTTTCGAATCTGTTCTTTTCTTAAGCCGCGAGCGATGCGAGTGGCTTAGTTTCGTAATTTCATACAATTATTTTTCGAATTTGTTCTTTTTGTCAACCGCGAGCGAAGCGAGTGGCTTTTTATTTTTTAATTTTTTTTTCTTTCTTACTTTTTTTTCTCCCCCTTACTTACAAATTTGATAGTAACTTACCAAATCTCTCTATCATATAATAATAAATTAATCCATTTTTTGTTTCAAATCTGATACTTTTACATTTCTGACATGTAAACTTGTCACTTTTCACTTCACCTCACTGGGCAAGTTTGTGCCCCCCTCAAGTTAAATTGCTTGTTGTTTTTAATAGCTATTTAATGAGAAATCCAATATTGCAAAATTCAAATTGAATGATTGAAAGAACAGAAAAAGTCATTCTTTTCAATTTCGAATATGTTTCATTGTATTTATAATTATATGGCAAATAAGATATTCAAACTTGATTTTTGAAGGAAAATTCACAAAATTGAATAAATTCAAATAATTTTTATTCAAAAATAAACTAGTTATTTGAGTTTAATACTAATTATCTATTCAAACTACAAAGTTTGTAATTTAAAATATTTTGTGAGATCAGATTGAATTAATTCAAGGTTCTTTTCAATTAATATTAATGACCATATTACGCATTTTCGAACATTCTAAACCAAATATATAAAAATGGGAGACGAATGTTAAATTTTCTAGACATAAAGAAGTTGTTTACCGAGTTTTAGCTCTTATCTCTAACAAAAAATTAATTTTTAAAAAAATGACCGAATACGTTTGAGGGGGGCACAAACCTGCCCAGTGAGGTGAAGTGAAAAGTGACAAGTTTACATGTCAGAAATGTAAAAGTATCAGATTTGAAACAAAAAATGGATTAATTTATTATTATATGATAGAGAGATTTGGTAAGTTACTATCAAATTTGTAAGTAAGGGGGAGAAAAAAAGTAAGAAAAAAAAAATTAAAAAATAAAAAGCCACTCGCTTCGCTTGCGGTTGACAAAAAGAACAAATTCGAAAAATAATTGTATGAAATTACGAAACTAAGCCACTCGCATCGCTCGCGGCTTAAGAAAAGAACAGATTCGAAAAAAGATTGTATGAAATTACGAAACTAAGCCGCTTGCTTCGCTCGCGGCTTAAGTAAACAACATATTTCAGATTATCGATACTAAAAATTTTTTATTTTATTGCATTTTTTTTAAAGCTTCTTAACTTAAATCATGGAATGTCTCAAAGACAAAAGTAGCATACAGCATGTAAAGCTAAAGAAAGATAATCATAATTAATACCTTAATTTTTAATATTACGCATTTTTAGGTGCAAAATTTAAAAACATTCTAATACAATAGAGCAGTTTCCAAAAGTAGCATACAGCATGTAAAGCTAAAGAAAGATAATCATAATTAATACCTTAATTTTTAATATTACGCATTTTTAGGTGCAAAATTTAAAAACATTCTAATACAATAGAGCAGTTTCCAAAAGTAGCATACAGCATGCAAAGCTAAAGAAAGATAATCATAATTAATACCTTTAAAGTTTAAAATCTTGATTTTTTTTAAAATCAAATATTTATAACTTTAATACATACAGCTTAAACCTTATACTTGTTTTCTCTTGTGAGAAAGCAATCTTACAAAGCTAACAATCCTAAAAAATAAAGAATTAAAATTTAATAATTTAATCTAAAATTAAAATCAAAATTAAATAAAATGAGTTCTTTGTAATAATACTTTCAAGGTAGGATATATTTTAGTGGGATCTATTGAGTCATCACTAACAGCATTGAGCAATCTATTGAGCATTGAAATACTCTCGATTTTTCTTTGTCTTTTTACATCAATTTCTGCGTTAGTTGCTTTTTCCATG